CGGCATATGTGAATACGAAACCTCTCAAGGACGAAGCAAATTATTTATTCGCCACGTAACCACTCCGTGATAATCAGAGGTGCTTAGAAGCCACAGGGTCGGTAATTTCCCAGAGTATAAGCCATTAGCTTTAGTCGTTAATACAAACAAAAAGTGAGAGTGCTTTCACGTGGAACAGTGACGAATTGGCGCGAACTTTAACTTTTATCCAAACGGCCGTATGCACACCACAAATCGTACAATGAGCACAGAAACGAGTTCTATCACAGGGACCCCGAATTCGCAAAATATTGCCACTAGGTAAATCAGTCGTCGCGTCCAGCCATCGACTGGTCGGCGTCGCGTTGAGTGAAGGACGGTCGAGCGAGTCGGCGGCGGCGGTCACGACAACGAATGCAGCCTGCACCTCATTTCGACCGGACCACTCCAACGGTCGAACGGCACCGCCTCTCTATAACCGCAAACACGCGTGTTACTGGTGGACAGGGATGGGACGAAGCTCATCGAAAACTTACGTGGTATTGTGCGTCAGCTCCACGTAGCCACAGAGCAGGCCGCTTTCGCACGGACAGATCTCGTTCAGCCAGTAGGACAGACCGCCATCAGGGATAAAGCATTTCTGGCCAAACTTCAATTTCGGTTTGCACACCTTTGCTCCGTGCTGCCGGGCACAACACAGTCCTTGTAGGCATTCTTTAACGGACGTGCATCGGGCACCTTAAAGCATAAGAAACACGGCGGTCACAAGCTGAACAAGTTCAAAAAACTTTTCGTTTAACCTTTGTGTCCCGGCTTTGGGTTGGGTCGACATCTGCCGAACATGCAATCCAGTCCGGTAGCACATTGGCCATCGGTCCGACATGGCTGCTTTTCGCTTCTGTATCGTTTGCATACACCGTAATGTAAATCACAAAATTCACCAACGCGGCAGTCGCGGTCTCTCTGGCATATCACCTGTAAGCAGACAGTTCGAAGTTTTGGTAAGTTAAATTTAGACAAGCACTGTTGTCCAGGCAAGCCTCACCCTCACAGCCACATAGAAGGCAGAATGTCTCGTAATATATCACTCTGTCAGCAAAGGAGGAAAATCCTGGCAATTCGGACATTAAGTCAAACGCCACTAATGTGATCAATTTTCTTAATCAAGCTTTCAATGAATATGACACCCCAACAACCACGTTGCACAAAACCGAGCAAACCAAAATGCGAGTTAATATCCCTGCAAGAAGCATTCTTCTGTATGATCATTGGTCCCTTATCGATCTTGAAGCTGAAGGAAGCGACAACACTCCTGCAACAATAGTTCAGCAGAATTTCTGTATCTAAGGTAAATTCCTCAGGACAAAACATACCTTAAGTATAAACCTGGACGGGGTCTGTGGAAGCCACTGTTCGAGTTCACTTTGGAAGAGACACCGCAAAACTTGTCGTTGTGAATCCTTTGGTCAGACAACAAAGTTGCATCGTGCCATTACGGAATGAAAATAAACAATGGCTCCCACGGTATCAATTCAGGTTTATACTCAAGGTATTTTTTTTCTTGAGGAATTAGTATCAACGTCGTATCAACGATAAACATGCCTATTTATTGCTTCCGCAGTACTGTTATTTCCCCGAGTCTCATGAATAATGAAAGAGTAACATCTATTTTGAGTTAGAGCACTTAATTTGCGAAAAACGTTTAGCTCAGATACATAGAAAGGTCTCTTAGTCCTTGCTTACCGTTGTCTCCCAGGCAGACCTTTATAACAATAATGACAGATTTGACAGGGCCAATGCAATTTAAAAGAATACATATCGCAGCACTTTTATCCAGCAGAAACTGCTGTATTTTGGTCAATTTCTGTCCATAACCAAAGAAACGAATCTTGAAAAATAAATTTATCCAAATTGGTTATGTTACATCAAATGTTAGATTTTTCGCGGTTTTTTCCTTCTGTAAATTATACAGTAATCGTCTTCGTTCATTACAGTTCGATTTTGAGTCACTGTCTGTATTCATCTGAAGACAGAGATAGAATGTGCAGGATGAACCACCATCGCGTGCGCCATCTGGACAGAGCATGAGAACGTCAAGAAATTGGACCCAAAAGTAAGCACTTGGCAGAACAGCACAGCTCCCGCAATTTCCCATCATGTATATGCGTAAAAATGGTTTTAAACTGTAACGAGGAAATAGCCAAATTAAAAAATGTTAAGACAAGCAGAGGTTCATTCGAAGCAACTTAAAGAACTCAAAAACATTTTTGGCATCGGCTCCATGGTTCTTTTCTGATCCGTTTTCACCTAAAGCTCCATAATTCCAGTTTTCTTCATCTTGCGTACCTACAAACTCCACGTTCGTATTGTAGACAAGAAATCAACAACCAAAGAGATGAATCGCACTCCAGAGGAAGTATCTCATAGAAGGTAATTACTGTTAGGGCTGATGGGAAATCACGTCTTGAATATTTTGACTAATGATGCAATGATAAGCAGCAGATGATAACTTTGAAGTTATCCTGCCTAGGAGAAGAATACCTTCACTACAATTCAATTAATTGAATGATGTGAGAGAGAAACGATGAAGAAGGAACAGGGAACGAGAGGAGGAAGCATCGTTAGCATTTTGCCTCAAACGCAGCAGAGGAAAGTTTATTTCAAAATATTACCGTTTACCAGAACAGAGGAGGGAGTTTGTATGTGTTGTATTTAATTCATTTTAAAGAGTATCCCTGGACAACGACAAAGAGTATCCTTGAACAGATTAACTAAGGATTTTATTCTACCATATCGTCGCCAATTTCACTTCTTCATGTTACACTCACGACAAAGGTACATCATTATCTCAGACGAGGTCACTGTCGCCGCCGAGAGCAAATCGAGTTAATGAGTCCAAAACTGAGGTAATGAAATTCGGTTTGTTAGACCACCCGTACAGATCGATGAAAAAATTTACTTGCTTCCCTCTTTCTGTGAATAAAACAAGCATATAAGCTTTGGCAGCTCGCACAATCATTTTAATACTATCCCCTGCCACGATTCATGTAATACGTCATAATGGGTCGTACTGCCTACGTGTAATAATTGATTAAT